ATTAAAATAATGTAACTCACTGAGCTGACTGTCCTGCTTCATGGCTAGTGTAAACACAGAACTGTGTAGCAACCTCCACTACACAACAGGTGAACACGTCACATTTCCATCCAGCAGAGCTTGTGAACATCAGCACAGAAATAAGAGTAGGTTCTGCACATCCACAGAAAAAGGTTGCTAAACATGTCTGATAAGCACCATCGAGTGTAGCTACATCACTGTAGTAGCTGAAGAGAGCTGCACACAGCAAAGTAACTGGGGTGACTGCGAGCCAGACTCACAGGTAAAAACCATCAAATTAGTGGAGACTACAACACATTCAGTAGGGAGAATGGTTTGAATCCTTATCATACTACTGTATATTTACAGTAGTAAACACACAGCATACCAGTCAGGCACAAAGAATGCCAAATCGGCGTCCATTAGAAAACCCCTCTTCTCTGTCAGCTCTCTCGGTCCGCTGAAGGCTTCTCCAGTATAATTTGATGATCTAAATCCAATTGTGTTGGTTTCTTTTTCTTTAGAAGGGAATATCTCTGCACTGCCACCAGGCTGTTTGAGTCTCCGTTACAGGAGTCACTAACAGCCCCTCTCCACAATAAGATAAAATTTGGGGGATATTTTTACCAAAAAAAAAAATGTCTGAAACATGTTACATGATTTACAACATTGACCAAAGCTGGGATGCACCTCTGTTTTTTGCTCATTGTCTGTGTGTAGCCACTAGTGTTACACTGCTCAAGGCATCAGAATGTGAAGAAATCTTTGAGGGTAATGATGAGAAATACAAGGCAGTGTCCATCAGCACGGAGCCCCCAGCTTACCTCAGGTAATGTACTTTAATAACTTTTACTGGCTTTGTATGTGCTCACCATTCAAGAGTTCTCTTCTTCATCATCCTCATTCAGAGGAATGTGCAGGCTGCGATAGTACTGGGAAATGTTGGTCCAGATCTTCATTAATTGTTGTGTCATCTGTAGAGGAATTTAAACAGATTAATTTCAAGAACTATGTAATGTCTCTGATCCATCTCGTGAAGCTAGGTGGAGACCGTTGCCTCCAGTAAAGGAGAGTAAGGGTACATCCCCAGTCTCTCATATGCACCAACAGTTTCTTTTCATTGTGTCTTAAAGGAATAGTTCGGGATTTTTCAAGTTGGTGTTAAAACAATATTAATGTATCCCTCTGTATGTGAGAATAGGTCTTAGTCATTGTCACTTCTCCTACTTTCCACACTGATCCTTAGTGTTTCCACCACGAATGTCACTGTGCTGCAAAAAAAACAACTTTCATTCTGTGCAAAACCTCATTCCAAAGTTTGTTTGAGGCTCAGGTGCAGCTTCAGCTGTCCACTAAACTAATTTGAGTCGGTGTATTTCAAGTAATTGTCAATTTAAGAAAAATTTTCTGTGTTTTTTTTTGTTGTTGTTGTTGTTTCCTTGGTTAGCACTTCCATGCTGAGCTGTGCCAGAGTGATACTTTCTGATAGTTCTATGTAAGTTGGTGTTTAACTCTGAGCACAAGTTAAGTAGTAATATAGAAACAAATTTGTACCTTGTAGATTTGACAGCTGGAGTATTTTTGCAGTTTGCGATTTTTGGGACACCAGTAAAACCTGCTCCTTCGTTTGGTTTATATTTGTGTGCATGCACCATCTGAGCCACTCCTGTGTTTTACTCCTGTCTCATCTGTGCTCCACATGAAGGAGAACGTGGTTCTGCATTTATCCAGTGTGTTTTGAAAGACAAGTGATGGGTTCCTCAAATTTCATTGAGAGTCCCTGAAAGGACCACGTTGTGCCTGTTGGTGATCCAAATGAACACAGTGTGTGTGTAAAATAATGCTCCTAAAAAGGCCACGATGATGACAGTCAAACAAATGCCAGACTATACCTTTAAGGGTTTTTTTTTTTGTTTTTTTTGTTAGTTTTTTTTTAATTGTAGGAACCTGTAGGAATGCTCGTCATGAGTTCTGCGTTTGTTTCCACTGCCCTCTGCCCACTCTTGAGGTGCATTCCAGAAGCTGAATTTTGTGTGTAGGATGGTCTTGTATATCCTCACTCATGGCCTCCTCGATCCTCAATCCTCAGACCTAAGTCTTGAAGTCTTGGTACATCCTCAGTCCTCGCTCAACCCGGAAGTTGTTCCAGTCGGGTCGGTTGTGGAGCAAGGAACAATCGTATAAGAGACATACGGTCTCTGTCTTCAGTTAGCAGTTATGGAGATAAATGTTACAGCCGCTTGAACACTGTGCAAGCTTCTGGTATAAACTCAAATATAGCACAGGTTGTAGGTTGGGAAAGAGGCTTTTTTGAAGTATTTTTACATAAGCATCAACAGTACTGAGCAAGATTTGAACCATTAAGGGTCAGACAATGATCTGGTCTATAAGTTGTGCTGATGATGGTCCTTCTACTGAAATGTTCACTTTTAAGACATGAAACAAATGCACTCTTGTTACATCTTTAGAGCCTCTTTTACCAGTATGTGAGCTTTTTTTTTTTTTTTTTTTTTTTTTCAAAAAAAAACAAAATTATTTTC